TTTGAATTTGAGTCGTAGCTCTGTCTGTCTGTCGGACGTCATTTTAACGGTCAGAGGTGGCGCTGTTGTCAGGGGGTGGAGTTTAAACCAGCTCTGTTGTAAATGTTTTTGTTCTTCTGTTGTCGAGGCGTTCGTGCTCCCATTGGTGGAATACGAGTCCAGCTGTTTGAAAATCAAACCTGTTTGTGAATATTCCCTGGAACAATAAAGATTTTTAGATAATTTTTTTAACAAGTGTGTCGAGTCTTTTTCCTGTCAGGGTTTTTAGAGTTTTAACCAAAGACAAACAGGAAGTCATTAATAGCTACAGGAACTTCCCTGTCGGGAGGATCTTTTCAAATTGAAATATCAAAATAAGATGAACACAGTTGTTTTTACAATTTAAACCTTCAGGGAAATAAACCCTGATCTGATTAAATTAAACTTCTATTGAATTCGTTTTTTTCATTTTGGATTATCAGTAATTCAGATTTTTCTTTGTTGGATTTTGTAACAGTTAAAACGTTTTTCTTTATTTGTATTAGTTTTTTCTCTTCATTTCTCTTTGTTTATATTTATTGTGTGATTTCAATGTTTTAACTTTATGTTCTCGTCTCAGTAAACGATGACTGTTTACCTGATGTGATTATTGATGGATGAATCATTTCCGGTTCGTGTGGTCGATCGGTTCATTGATCAAACTGTAACCTCGGTGTGTCTCGTGCCCTCTGTGTGCGAGCACAGACGGGAGCGGGATCAGGCGCGTGTCCGCCGCGTGCTGTTGTGAGCGCGCCTCGTGGTGCTGATGGAGCTGGGTTCAGTGTGAACACACCGGAAGCTGAGGAGGAGGAGGAGGAGGAGGAGGAGGACCGATCCATCATCTGATCACATCATCGATCAGTGATCGATCAGCGGCTCGTTGGACGTCATCGGTCACACCTGCTGAGACGCGCGCGCTGCAGTGGCGGGTCTGGATCAGGATGATGTGACGGAGGAGTCGCAGGTTCGATTCCGGCGGGGAGAGGCAACCGAGGTAAGACATGTTCATCCCGCACACACTGGTCCCTCCGCGTGGACGAGCGCGTGCACGAGACTCCATTAAAAGTTGTCTTAAGGTCGCGCGGCTCGTGAGCAGGTTTCAGTGATGAGCTGATGAGGTGTGTGCGTGTGCGTGTGTGTGTGCGTGTGTGTAAACATCCTGTCTGTGACATTAACTTAATTAATTTCCGTCAGTCAATGCATTGACTGGAGTAATCTGATTACTCTGAGTGACAGGAGCAGCTCTGTGACTCAACGCAAGACTCAAAGTAATCAGATTACTTCAGTAGAAGTAACCCGATGACGCCACAGTGCAGGGTGTTGGTTGTGACCTCACAGGAAGTGAGAGATGACATCAGCAGTCACATGACCAGTGGTTCTGTAGGTGATGGAGCAAGAAGTGATGTTCCTGGTTCTGACAGAAGCGTCTCTCTCGCTCACTCTCTCTCTCTCGCTCGTCTGAATGAGCAGAAGAACAAGTTGAGGTCTACAGTTCAGTCCAGAGCTGTGACATCACAGGTCTGATCCAGATGTTCAGCCTTTTCATTTTTCCATCAGCTGCTCAGCAACAGGCTCTGCTCTCTGATTGGACGGCTCCTGCAGCAGTGCGCTCTGGGAGATGTAGTGTACGTCTCACTCAATGGGCTCCACCCACTCACCTGCTGTATCTGTGATGTCACCTGAACGTCACGCTGCGTTTCAGTGTGTGTGAGAGTCTACTGTAACACACACACACACACACACACACACACACACACACACACGCCCCTGGGGTTGAAAGGTTATTGGCTGCCTCACTGGAGCTCTCAGCCAATCAGATACAAGTATTCACAGTTGGGATTTTCTACATTGTTGCCATGCGAAGAATCTGCTGCCTGACCTACATTTACACACACACACACACACACACACACACACACACACACACACTGATACACACATTTAGGTGCAGTTGTGTGAGCCTGTGTGTGTACATCAATAGTTAATGTGTTTCTCTCATGAGGATCTGTGTGTGTGTGTGTCTGTGTGTGTGTGTGTGTGTTGTGAGGACAGCGTCAAACAGACACAACACAAACACACAAAACTGACACACTGCACAGAAAACACAACAACGTCACGGTCACAGTCCTCATCTTGTGTAGGTGACAAACAACACATATTACACTATAT